TGTTGGTGTTGTGTACTAAGGTGAATAATATGTTTGCCATGTTACTCTGAGTGCATATCCACACCGGGCGAGCTTGAAAAATATGCCCGGCCACGGTGGGATTCGAACCTACGACCTTTGGAATACTAGCCCAATGCTCTTCCAACTGAGCTACGCGGTCAGGACAGTTCGAGTAAGTGATATTTCGGAACAGTATCTAGTTCCTTCAATACCAATATGTTCTACTAATATGAATTTTTTCTGTGTTGGTGTTGTCTACTCAGGTGAATAATATGTTTGCGATGTTACTCTGGGTGCATATCCACACCGGGCGAGCTTGAAAAATATGCCCGGCCACGGTGGGATTCGAACCTACGACCTTTGGAATACTAGCCCAATGCTCTTCCAACTGAGCTACGCGGTCAGGACGGTTCGAGTAAGTGATATTTCGGAACAGTATCTAGTTCCTTCAGTACCAATGTGTTCTTGTAATATGAATTTTTTCTGTGCTGGTGTTGTGTACTCAGGTGGATAATATGTTTGTGATGTTACTCTGAGTGCATATCCACACCGGGCGAGCTTGAAAAATATGCCCGGCCACGGTGGGGTTCGAACCTACGACCTTTGGAATACTAGCCCAATGCTCTTCCAACTGAGCTACGCGGTCAGGACGGTTCGAGTAAGTGATATTTCGGAACAGTATCTAGTTCCTTCAGTACCAATGTGTTCTTGTAATATGAATTTTTTCTGTGCTGGTGTTGTGTACTCAGGTGGATATTAGAGAGTTTGAGCAAGACAACGAAGTACGAAGACGAAGGCATACTTGACAATTTTTGCCGTATGTCCATTATCTTGCGCATACTGAGTTGGACGTCACTGGTGGTTGCACAACGTATCTTCCCATGTGTCGCTGTTTATGAATACTGACCATAAGTCTTGCCCTGATCCAGAAAAAAACAGCGAGACATGAAACTATATCCCGTCTTTGTCCTTCTGCCTTCGTGCAGAACGAGTTTCACAACGAAATTTGCGAAAGTATTCGTTGTGAACGAAGGCAGAAGACGAAGACGGGATATGGATTCATGTCTCGCTGTTTTATCCTGATCAGGGTAAGGATTTGGGTCACCATTCACAAACAGCTAGGCATAAATCTCTAATCTGTCTTCACTCCTGACCCTAAACTCAGAATGTGCAAGGTAATGTGCAAGACAGGCAAAAATTGTCAACCACGTCGTCGTCGTCCGACTTCGTTGTCTTGCTCAAACTCTCTAATATGTTTGTGATGTTACTCTGAGTGCATATCCACACCGGGCGAGCTTGAAAAATATGCCCGGCCACGGTGGGATTCGAACCTACGACCTTTGGAATACTAGCCCAATGCTCTTCCAACTGAGCTACGCGGTCAGGACGGTTCGAGTAAGTGATATTTCGGAACAGTATCTAGTTCCTTCAATACCTATGTGTTCTTGTAATATGAATTTTTTTCTGTGTTGGTGTTGTGTACTCAGGTGAATAATATGTTTGCGCTGTTACTCTGAGTGCATATCCACACCGGGCGACCTTGAAAAATATGCCCGGCCACGGTAGGATTCGAACCTACGACCTTTGGAATACTAGCCCAATGCTCTTCCAACTGAGCTACGCAGTCAGGATGGTTCGAGTAA